TAGGCTGATTTCATATGAAATCAACTACTTTAAAGAGCTTAATTTTGAGAATCGCTTCAACTATTTCCCATTTAAAATTTAAACTAAGAGCACAAGACTCCCATTAAAGGGTATTTAGATTTATGACTTGATTAATCGTCAAACATCTAGGCTACTAATCTTTTCGCAGGAAGCTACTTTTCTTATAATTCCACTAGAATTTTCTATATAATTTATCAAAAGTCATACACAGCTTTTCGGAAGAGGCATTTCTTAGGAGCTTTATGCCTTTAAATTCACGATTGTTTTCAGGTTGGATCAAGAACTTGGATAAGTTCATAACATGAGTAGGTAAGGGAATAGGGGATCTTTTTGTCAATGGCCTCTTTTGCGAACAATATTTTAACAAGGCTACCATTGATTAGGAATTGCATTGTGACAATGGATATGCATTGAGATATAAGATTTAGTATCTTTTTAGAGAACACCGTTGAAATTTCATGCCACACGATCAAATGCTTTCTCCATATTGCACTTTATCGTAGTTCAACCCTTGTGGCTTTTGTTTTCTTTTTCTACATTGAATGGATGAAATCTCATTCTTGAATGCAACTCCCCTTCACAAATGCAGCTTGATAAGAAGTCATTTTCTGCATGATAGACCTTAGTGTTAAAGCAAGCAATTTAGGTATAATTTTGTATAATACATTGCATAAAGAACTAGGTTGAACTTGTTTAACATGTTTGCCTCTTCACTTTTTGGGATTAAGACTATGTCATTTTTCAAACAAATTAAAGTAAACTCTCTATGTACTATACTTTAATTAAGATAAGAATTGAAATAATCATTTAGAGTAATTTTATCTTATTGAATAACAAACATTTCATTATTAATTCAGTTTGATACTTAAGTATCATTATCCGAAAAATAATTGAAACAAAAATAACATTTTAAACTTAATGTTTATTTTAATTAGTGTAAAATATAAATAGATGGATTTTAGAAAAAAGTACATTTTGACAACTCCATATATATAAAAAATAGTAAAATTGTTATTTTTATCATTAAACATGATAGACTGATTATAAAGTATATTTTTTTCTAAATGCATGGTAATAAAACTAATACAATTATAACTTCATACAATAAGAAACTACAGATTATGTATAATTATGAAGTTCATTTATATGCGTGAGGCTCCAACTAATTAAGTGTAGGATTAATTTATATAAGATCGAAGGCTATTGCAATCCAAAAACTAAAATAGAAACATACATAGTCTTTTTAATTATTAGAAATATTAGGAGACTTATAAAAATTTATTATAAAGTTGACGGATGCTGATAGGAGTAGTGACATTATCTTTCCCGTCTAGTAGTTGTTTTGCAATGATGAAATTAGCAGCCTCTGTTGGATGATATGCATCCCAAAACACATACTTTGATCGATCATCACATAAATCTAACTCATTATCACCCTTAAAGCATAAAAACGGAGGAAAGTAACCACCGCAGCATGGTGCATTTGCACTCTCAAATCCTACATCAAACAATATTTAATTATATACACATACATTTATAAACTTAGAAGTGTCTATTAATAAAGTTAGAAACTATTTAACTAACCGTACTGCTGATAGCTAAGAATGATCTTCATAAAAACATCATAGGAGTTTGCATATACAAAGGTGGTCTGAGGTCCCATATCATGGTTTAATTGATTGAGAATTTGATTAAGGTGGGTGTTGTAGCCTTGGACTAGTTGGTTCACCTCCATTGAGCATTTTCCACTTGGTACTAAATATAATGCTCCAACAAACGGTATGCAGCCAAGTGGTCCAATCCCAACAACAATCAACTTTCTTGCTCCTAACTCATGCAATCGCTAAATACATACATATATACATACACACACTAGTTATGGCTAATAATAGAATATTAAGCTATACACATCATGTGGAAGTATGTGATTTTACCTTTAGCTGTATGGTGAGGTTAGAGAGCATAAAATGTTGGAAGACAAATGGAGAAACCTTGGGGTGCTCAAGAAATGGTATTGAAGGTTGCATATAGTTCAATATGTCGTTTGAGCCTATTGTGATAGAGAAGATTGCATTCTTTAATAACTCCCTTGTACCATTTTCACCCATTACTTTCACCATATATGCCTTACTCTCTTCAAAATAGTTTACTTGCTCCCTCAAGGGGACTCTACCTATCTGCAATTGTTTTGTTCACATGATTATTTTTTTAAAAAATATATTAAACATATTTTGCTATATACATATATACGTTTTGCAAAATTTAAATATTTGTGCTTACAAATAATTCTCCTGTTTGCTCCAAAATTCCTGCTGCACCAGAAGCATAGTTAAGTCCTCTAAAGATCACTTTGTCGTCTGTTTTGGGGGCTAAATATGGAGGTGGAAACGATTTGGCTCCAAGTGCTTCATCTAATTCAAGCATGAGAATAAACTCAAATTAGATATTAATATGTTCGTTCATAGTGCTAAAATATAGAACAATAATGATAAATCAAATCTGAATAGTTAGCCCAATGATCTACTGATTTCTTCATAGGGGCAGGTTTAGTTTCAAGCCTCAACATGGAGCGTATAAGATAGAAAAGGAAAACAATTGGTGGGCTTGGAGATAACAAACTTAATGGGGTTGAGATCAATCACTTAATTGATTTATATTTTTGTGTAATTGAGTACATCAGGACCTAAGATATATATAATTTTATGGCTTTTATATGATTGGGTAGACTAAATAGGAAAAAAAATTATTGCATCAATAGTGCATATATCACTAACAAAGCAACAATTTAAACAAAATCGAATATTTTTCTATAGCAATTCCTTAAGTTTGGTTCATGTTTAATGAAAATATTCAATATATGATAGAAACTTAAATGAAAATAACGGTCTAGTTCAAATTAAATAAGAATAAAATATTATTTTATGTTAAATTCAAATTAAATATTAAATATCATTGTAATTTATTCCTTGATAGATATGATGAATAAAGATTCATAGTTGTGGAACTAAAAAATGAGCAAAGTTACTTAATTATGCATCTAGGATTAAATTATGAATAATTTTTGGATGTCAATAACTAAAATCCAAAAATTGAATGAACATAATACATGGTCAAAAGAAAGTAAGAACACTGGTTCCTGGGCTTTGTACACACCACTTATCACATCATGGGATTTGGCCATGCCCTAAGTCATTACCTTTAACTGCACAGAAGGAGATGTCGATGGCAGGAGTAATAACTAGAGTGAAGTCATAATAAATTAGGCTATCTCATTTTTAATATATTAATTAAAAACAAATAAGATAATTCCTGTTTTGACATAATGTTATAAACAGTTTTAAAAATAGCACAAGTCCAACTAATATTTATTAAGTTTTCCAAAATATTGAATGACTTTAGAAATATTCATCCTTTTCCTTGTGGATAATTAACTGATGCAAGCACTAATAATGGCTCCTATCTATTTGCTTCACTTCAGAGTCGTTCTTTTTTTTTTTTTTAAGAAAAAAAATTGCTTTTTCTTCCTATGTTATCTGTTCTTCCCGTGTTAATAAAGTTTAATATTAAAATTGACTTAACCACCATAATAGTATATACTAAATTGTCTAAATACATAGCTTTTATTTAAAAATCAAACTCAGGTGGGTGGAAAGAAATTATTGAAGAGGTAATTTTAGTTGGTCTTGCTAAATCTAGAAAATAAAACAAGGTGTGTGTGTGTATATATATATATTAATAAGCCCTTTCTAGTGAAAATGGAATTTCCCAGATTTA